GGGGGGGGAGGTTGGTTTTGTTTCGTTTTGTTTTTGTTGTTGTTTGTTAAGTTGGTTTGTTTGTTTTTTCGGGGGACTGGGGAGAATTTTTCCTTGTTAATTCTGTTATTTTCACCAGAAAAATGGTTACTGTTCTCAGCATATGGTTTCTGGTTAAACTCATACTTGTTGTTTCTATTGACTGACTTTTTGGTCTGCATATGGAACTTGAAAAATGTCCGCTTTGTCGCAACAAGTTTAGTTTGAAATAAATGTGTATGCGTTAGCCATTATTATTTTCAGCATAAACAATAAAAGATTTAAAGTTGTAGCCATTGTAATACACACCAACATTTTAAGAAAAGAAGAATTTCATCTATGAGGACAAAGTTTCAGCACAGAAGGTAGATATTTATGATGAATGGTGAAAACAAGAAAAAAGTAATAATGCAGAATCTAGTCAGTAGATGTGTCGACTTCTAAGTATTAAACGTGTCGCTGCTCATTGCACATAAAGAGTTAACTGTACCGTCCACAGAACAGTGTATCATGGCACATAAAGAGTTAATTGTATCGTCCACAGAACAGTATACCATGGCATATAAGGTCGCTTTTAAGGACAAGTGGGCTAACCCAGATTTCGGAAGTTTCCAGAAATCTTAACCTAATCCAAAAGTGGGCATTTCCCTAACTATAGGAAAAGTTTGGTTTCATTGGTGTGTATATTCGTTTGGCTTTAGAGAAAACTCTCCTTGTCTTTTAAAGAAACTGAACAAGGGGCAAAAACTTTACCTTCGATTTTCTCAAAACAGCATTTTTCGGGATAGCCTCCTTGGCCTTGTGCTTAAAAGCGACAAAAATAGTTAACTGTACCGTCCACAGAACAGTATACCATGGCATATAAAGGGTTAACTGTAGCGTCCACAGAACAGCATCTCATGGCACATAAAGAATTAACTGTACCATCCACAGAACAGTGTATCATGGCGTATAAAGGGTTAACTGTACCGTCCACAGAGCAGTGTACCATGGCTTATAAAGAGTTAAATTGGCTGTGGTTCATGGCACATAAAGAGTTAACTGTACCGTCCACAGAACAGCGTAACAGACGCGGATACGCCAGGGAACAGCGTGCACACCTTCAAGCTCCTGTCCATCACACCACACCTGGAGCAGACAGAGGGGCTGGGGCTCCCCAGAGAGCCCTTCGTGGTCTCTGTGAACGGGACTGTGTTCACCAACACGCCTTTTCGCTCGGACATGATGGGCTACTTTGAGCTGAAGGTGCAAGTCTCGGATAAGGACGGCCTCAATGATACCACAGACCTCAGGGTGAGTAAGAGTAAGACTTACTCGTGTGGCGTGCTGACATAATGAGTCCGTACTTCTCGCAATCCGCAAAAGGAGATAAATGGGAAAAAATCGACACCGAGGTCAAATTAGTAGATCTTCTATTGATGCTCTATTTTTATGTATAACATACCTCTTATCATTCCATACTTATAAATTGTAAAACTTCACTTATAAGCTTGATGTATCTATTTCCATAAGGCTTGAATCCGAGAAGTAACTCATTCTGTCAGCACACTTCACACAATTAGTGAGTCACGGTTGCTGTTGGAGTAGTATGTGTGTTTGTGATAGATAGATAGATAGATAGATAGATAGATAGATAGATAGATAGATAGATAGATAGATAGATAGATAGATAGATAGATAGATAGATAGATAGATGGATGGATGGATGGATGGATGGATGGATGGATGGATGGATGGATGGATGGATGGATGGATGGATGGATGGGTGGGTGGATGGATGGATGGATGGATGGATAGATGGATGGATGGATGGGTGGATGGATAGATAAGGCAGAGATACACCAGCTCCCTCTACGTTTTGGTGACCCACTATTCAGCTTCATTTATTTAATCAACTTGATTTCATTTCCTGTTGAATCTGGAGTTTGTTTATAGGGAAATGTAACTTATGAGTTCCCTTGTGTATTATGTGTTTGATTTAGAGTTTGTTGGAAAATGTAAGTCATAAGTTCCTTTGTGACAATTTCTGTTCAGTTTGGAGTTTGTTCACAAGGAAATGTAAATCGTGAGTTCTCTTGTGACATTTGTGTTTGATTTAGAGTTGTTGTTTTTTATAGGGAAAGGTGATCGTGAGTTCTCTTATGATATTTATGTTTGATTTACCGTTTGCTTGCAGGAATATGTAAATCGTGAGTTCTCTTGTGACACTAGTGTTTGATTTAGAGGGGGGGGGGTTGTAGAGAAATGTAAATCATGAGTTCTCTTGGGACATTTGTGTTTGATTTAGAGTTTTTTGTAGGGAAATGTAATTCATGAGTTCCTTTGTGTATTGTGTGTTTGATTTAGAGTGGGGGGTTTTTGTAGGGAAATGTAAATCATGAGTTCCCTTGTAACGTGTTTCAGGTTTATTTGATCTCCAACCTCCAGCGTGTGAAGCTCGTCTTTGACAAGTTACCCAACGAGGTGGAAGAGCTCAAGCATAACTTGCTCAGGTAAGGAGAAGAAGGACAAAAACATGACAATAATGAATTGTAGTCAACAAAAGTTTGTCGTCGGTTCTTTCTCTTCTTTATTACAGACATGTCGGTATGTCGTGTTGATAATTTGTCAAAAAATGTGTGCAGATCTCATAAACTTAATTGGTCACTTTTATGGACAAGCGGGCTAACCCTGATTTCCGGGGTTTTCCAGAAACCTTGACCTACACCCGAAGTGGGCATTGCCCTACCTATAGAAGAAGTTTGGTTTCATTGGTGTGTATATTTGTTTGTTTATAGAGAAAAATCTCCTTGTCTTTTAAAGGAACCGAGCAAGGGGCAAAAACTTTATCTTCAATTTTTCTCTAAACAGCATTTTTCGGGATAGCCCTCTTGTGCTTAAAATAAGCGACCAATTAAAGGATAAGAATCCTGCAACATAGATGTCATCATATAGCAACAAATCTCAACTAGGTCTTACAGCATGAAGTCACTTGACTTGATGAAGAAAGAACTTGACTGGCGCAGATAGTAGAGGACATGTTGCTGTTTGTCCAAAAATGTCTCCTGCTTTGGTAGTGTTTTATCTTTTTTAAACCGTAACTTTCTGCAGTTATTTAGAGAGAAAAAAATTTTAAATCGTGATTTGCGAAAACAATAAATTGACCCCGGAATGTGCCTCACCTTTCTGGACATGACCGTACTTGTTTTGTCCAAACTTTGAAAATGAAAACGGGGTTTGTTTCTTTTTGTTCTCAAACTGTTTAATCGGGGGGGGGGTTATGTTTCTTATTTTTTTCTGTATTGCTTAGTAATTTAATTAAAGGATAAGAATCCAGCAACATAGATGTTATCATACTACAACAAATCTCAACTAAGTCTTACAGCATGACGTCACGTGATTTGATGAAAGAACTTGACTGGCGCAGTTAGTAGATGACATGTCCCTGTTTGTCCAAAAAGGTCTCCTGCTTTGGTCGTGTTCTATTTTTGTTGAAAACGTGACTTTCTGCAGTTATGTAGGGAGAAGATTTTTTTTTAAATATGGTATAGTAGAGGACATGTTGCTGTTTGTCCGAAAAGGTCTCCTGCTTTGGTAGTGTCTTATGTTTTTTAAACCGTAACTTTCTGCAGTTTTTTGTTGTTTTTTTTCCCCTTGCCCATTTATATGAGATTAACGCCATCTGATTAGTAAAAAAAGGTGCATATGAGTGTGTCCAATAGTGTATTATGTGCATACTTAGTATAACAATTAACTGTAATAGCGGATATAGATTTCAGGATTATAGATGTAAGTCATTGATCTGAGAGCGGTGATGATTTTGACTTTCTGCAGTTATTTAGAGAGAAGATTTTTTAAATCGTGTTTGCGAAAAAAAAAAATTGACCCCGGAACGTACCGCGCCTTTCTGGACATGACTGTACTTGTTTTGGATAACCTTTGAAAATGACATTTGTCGCATTTTGTTATCAAACTGTTTATTGGGAGGTGGGGAGAGTATGTTTCTTATTTTTTCTGTATTGCTTATTTTCTTTTCTTTTCCCTGATGGTTCTTGGGGGATTACAGCACTGGTTTCCCTTTACCGATTGCCTGTTTGTGTAGGGTAGATCACTGTTAAAAACAATCAGGGAACGATAAATGAAGTTTTTGGAACATTTGAATAGACATAAGAGTCTTGAACATCTAGCTCTCACTGGCAAAATTGAAGACAAACGAGGCAGGGGTAGGCCCAGAGCAACTTACTTGGGAAACCTGAACAAGTGGGTGACAGGGAAAGATCAGGGGCACGTAGTTTTTTTAAGAGCATCCGAGCAAAGGAATGAATAGAGAACCATGATTGCGCAGATCTGGCACTGGATGATGATGATGATGATGATGATGATGATGATGATGATGATGATGATGATGATGATGATGATTTTGTGTTTCCTTAATGGGCCTGGCGGACTCCACAAAGAAATCTTCGA